TTGCCTGGAAGATCTGTCCATTGGTGTCAATGGGGTGTTAAAGTCTCCTACTGTGAATGTTTTACTGTTGATCTCTCCTTTCATGTCAGTCAATAATTGCTTTATGTATGTAGGTGCTCCTATGTAGGGTATGTGTATGTTTACTAGGGTTATGTCCTCTTGATTTGTTGATCCCTTTATCATTATGTAATGCCCTTCTTTGTTATTATAGCCTCTGTTTTAAAGTCTATTTTATGTGATATAAGAATCGCTACCCTGGATTTTTTTTTCATTTCCATTTGTGTGAAATATGTCTTTCTATCCATTTTCTTTCAGTCTATGAGTGTCATTTGATCTGAAGTGGATCTCTTGCAGACAGTATATGCATGGGCCTTGTTTTCTTATCCATTCAGCTATGCTATGTCTTTTGATTGGAACATTTAATACATTTACATTGAAAGTGATTACTGATAGGTACATAGTTACTGCCATTTTATTATTCATATTTGTTATTTCTATTTTCTTTTTTACCCCTTCTCTTTTTACAGAAGTCCCTTTAACATTTCTTGTAATGCTGGCTTGTTGGTGATGACTTCCTTAAGCTTTTTCCTGTCTGGGAAGCTCTTTATCTCAATTTCCATTTTAATCGAAAGCCTCGCTGGGTAGAGTATTCGTGTTTATAGATTCTCGTTTTTCATAACTTTGAATATTTCTCGCCAATCCCTTCTGGCCTGCAATTTTTCCATTGAAAAATTAGCAGTCATTCTTGTGGGAATACCCTTGTAAGTACTTGGCTGCCTTTCTCTTGCTGCTTTCAAGATTCTCTCTTTGTCTTTGACCTTTGGCATTTTAATTATGAGGTGTCTTGGTGTGGGTCTGTTTGAATTCTTCTTGTTTGGGACTCTTTGTGCTTCCTGAAATTGTAATTCCTTTGCCAGGTTAGGGAAGTTTTCTGTCATTATTTCTTCAAATAGATTCTCAATCCCTTGCTCTCTCTCTTCTCCTTCAGATACTTCTATGATCCAGATATTGTTACGGTTCATGTTGTCCCAGAGGTCTCTTAAACTATCCTCATTTTTTAAAATTCATTTTTCTTTTTGTTGTTCCAATTGGGTGTATTCTGCTACCTTGTCTTCCAATTCAGTGATTCGATCTTCTGCTTCGGCCAGTCTATTGTGGATTCCTTGTAGTGTATTCTTCATTTCAGTTATTGTATTTCTCATTTCTGTCTGGTTCTTTTTTTGTGGTTCCTATGTCTTTTTTATGCTTCCTGTCTCTCTGTTGAGGTTCTCATTGTGCTCCTCCATTCTCCCCATAAGTTCACTGAGCATCCTTATAACCATTATTTTGAACTCTTGTCTCTGGTAGGTTGCTTGCCTCCATTTCATTTAGCTTATTTTCTGGGATTTTCTCCTGTTGTTTCATTTGTGGCATGTTTCTTTGTTTTCTCATTTTATTAGACTCTCTGTGTTTGATTGTACTTGTCAGGAATATTTGTTTCGTCTCTCAGCCTTGGCCAGATGGCCTAATATGGAAGGTGTCCTGCGTGGCCCAGTGGCACACTCTCCCTGATCTCCTATGCAGGGGGGTTCTGGACGTGATTTTTGTGTGGGTTGAGTGTAGTCTTCTGTTTTAGCTAAGCCTTTATTGGTGTTAGTACCTCAGTGGATGGGATTAACGCTCAGGCTGACTAATTGTGGGAATTGGCTGTACCCACAGGCTAAGAGTTGCTGTATGCAAGCTGACCCCACTGAGTGGGATTTGCCCTAGCAGGCTTGTGTACTTGTTGCAACCACCCTTTGTGTGTACCAGTAATGGAGCTAGTCAGGAGTTGCTCTGATGTCGTCTAGTGCCAGCCTCCAGATGCATTGGTTTTTGTGGCCCCTTGGGAGGGGCTCCCCCATAGGCCAAGGTCAGCCACTGCTTTTGATTGCTCAGGGCTACCCGGTGGGAACTGCAAAGCAACCCACAGATGGTTGTTGCCTATGCTGGATATATATATAGTTAAGTGGAAGAGATAGTGCTGTAGGCAGCAGTCGGTTATCCCCCATCCCTGACCTAGGGCAGTTTAGTAGAGTGACCAGTGCTCCTCAAGGGCTGACACTGTCTGTCTATTGCCTGTAAGTCTCTGAAACTAGATGAGCCTCTGGGTGATATGTGTGTTGGGTGGTGCAGGGACCCTCGGAGTCTCCTGGGTCTATTGATAAATTTCCCCCTGCCACTACAGTGTCAGTTTACATGACAA